TTCCTCCATCTTCCCACTTGCTCAGGAAGTTGCCCGCATTCTCCACCATATGTGGGGTTAGCTCAGGTGGGGGATCTCCTTCCCTGGGACAAAGGTAGACCGCACAGCAGGCTTTCATCAAAATCTGACTGGTTGTCAGCTTTATTTAAAAGGTTTGCAGAAAATAAACAAAACATGAAAATAAACCCTTGCCATCCAGGCACTAACTAAACAAAAGGCGTTTCCTCTCTCAGAGGTGAAGGGCTTCTCCCTGTCACCGAAATAAAACAAAAGCAAACCTTTTCTTGTAGGTATAGTACACACACAGCTCTCTCAGAACACCTCTCTGAGTCCCAGGCCACGAGCAACTCCTTGCTCCAACCCTGCCTTATTTATACCACCTGTTGGTGGTCATCAGTGGAGCCCAAAATCTGGTCTGGACCCACCTGCTTAACTGTGGCCCCGAAAACCCGGAGTGGACTCCACCTAAACGGTCAGGTATGAGCATATGCGAGGTGACACATAGCGTCCCTCTATCACCTCGCCGTTCATCCTGTCACAATATGCGTAAAATGACGGCGCTATGTAAGTACCTGAAATAAAATATATATATATATATATATATATATATATACATGCTTAAAGCAATGGTATAGGTGAAGTGCACAATGATGATCAGTCACAGTGCATAGCAATCAGAACCTCCCAAAGGCCATATATAGAAAAAAAAGGAAAAAATGGATTGCTGCACATAAAAGAACTTTTAATGTTGAAAAATCACCATACAAAAGAGTGATAAAAAATGGACAAAGCCATACATAATAGGCTATGGTATCTTGTATGTGATTTTTCAACATTAACCCCGGTTCACATCTATGCGGCCATACGGGCCGCGTTTTGCACGGGCACGAGAGCCCATTCATTTGAATGGACTCCCGTGCCCGTGACACGTAGGGAAGAAGTCCCTGCACTTTTGAAAATGCAGCCCACACAGGATCCTTGGTTCCCAGTACGGTTGCGTTTTCCAGTGCGGGCGATGTGCCATTAGAACTAATGGCTCCCACCTGCAGGTCCAAATTTCTCTGTGCGGGTGGTGCGGCTGCACAGATTTTCGTGTGGATCCGCAGTGGCACCACCCGCACAGATGTGAACCTAGGGTCAGCCTGGTTTCACATATATGCGGTGCGGTATATCCCATGTGATTTGCACAGGAACCGCACTGCATTCCTGTGTGAATCAAATGCGATTTGTGTGCGGTGCGATTGGAGCCATATATTTTGTATGGTTCTAGTACCGCACCCGCACCAAAATTGCGTAGGACCCTTTTTTGGGTCCGTACTAGAATCAGATTACATGGGTATTCACACCTATGCGATCCAATTCTGCACATCGCTCTGCGGACCGCTTTCGGGGTGTTGTTAACTTAACATACACACCCGCAGCGGTTCGCATGAATGGATTGCGACTCTGATGTGGTGTGTGGAGTTCACACAGAAACCGCTGCAAATTCTGCACCTCATCAGTGTGAACCCGGACTTAATGTTGAAAGATCACCATACAAAAGAGTGATAAAAAATGGGACAAAGCCATACATAATAGCCTATTATGTATGGCTTTGTCCATTTTTGATCACTCTTTTGTATGGTGATTTTCAACATTAAAAGTCTTTTATGTGCAGCAATCCATTTTTCCTTTTTATACATATATATATATATATATATATATATATATATATACAGGGGTGGACTGACAACTCATGGGGCCCCCGGGCAATAGGGGATCATGGGGCCCCTGTGTCCTTGCCCAAACTCAAAAAAGCCTATGAAAAAGATACCAGGGGCATCTCATGGGGCCCCCTACTGACCCCGGGCCCTCAGGCAGTGCCCGAGTTTCCAAATGGTCAGTCCGCCCTTGATATATATATATATATATACAGGGGTGGACTGACAGCTCATGGGGCCCCGAGCAATAGGGGATCATGGGGCCCCTGTGTCCTTGCCCAAACTCAAAAAAGCCTATGAAAAAGGTACCAGGAGCATCTCATGAGGCCCCTACTGACCCCGGGCCCTCAGGCATGCCCGAGTTTTCCAAATGGTCAGTCTGCCCCTGATATATATATATATATACAGGGGCGGACTGACAACTCATGGGGCCCCCGGGCAATAGGGGATCATGGGGCCCCTGTGTCCTTGCCCAAACTCAAAAAAGCCTATGAAAAAGGTACCAGGGGCATCTCATGGGGCTCCCTAGTACGGACCCCTCGGGCAGTGCCCGAGTTTCCAAGTGGTCAGTCCTGCCCCTGATATATATATATATATATATATATATATATATATATATATATATATATATTAGAATTATGATTTTATAATGATCCCTGTGCATCTTTGTTTGGCACATGCTAAAAATATATTTTGTTACTGTTGCTGTATTTGTTATTGTATTTATTGCTACTATGTTGTTATTTATATTTTCAAATTGCAAAAGCAGAAATGAAGCACATAAGAGGATACAACTTTTTCCATTTATTGGAGCAGAAGACGCTACTCAGCGTGGCTGGCGGTGGCGGAGGGGTTAACCATCTCTACTACTTTTCGGTTTCACAGCAATGGGTATTCTAGTCAAAATTACTCACGTCTGTTCTAAGAGGCCTGACTGTATATACACACAGCAACACAACCAGCTGGGAACAACCCATTCAAGCAGCACGGCTTGTGTATCCTCCCAGGACAGTGAAAAGGTCCTTTGTTCTGGACCCAAACACCTGGGCAAGCCTTGGCTACGGCTGTTTTTTTTCGGAGGGCATAGCAGCTGCTACACGCATGGGAGAACATGGCTGAAGCACAGCCAAAAACCAGGGCTCCCGCTATTGCTTTCCACCGCCTGTCCCTGGAGGGATGGTGCAAAAGCCACGGTCATTACATGGTCCCACAGATGGACCATAGGAATTCATAATGACCACACAGACTCTTCCATTATTTTCGAGAAGATGTCAAATACTCTCATTGGTGGGGCTACGTTACGTCCTAAGTGGGCCCTGGACAAAGATCACGTATGGGGGTGCCAACATCTTTATATAAATCAAATACTTAACACTTCATCAGGATGTCTAATATATTCTGGATTTTATCATACTGTTCATGTTTATTGAAAGCGCATCTACGGTCAAAATATAAAATCTTATATTCATTTCCACATTGCATTTCACTTATTTACATCCTACTCCTATTAATCTGGATGATCCTGAAGTTTGTAAACTTACTTTGTGAAGACCCCACACATTTCCTTCCTTGAATTCTGGGACTTGTAGTCATTATGCCCTGTGAGTAGGCACTGCTGTGTCACACATTTCATAGAGCCCGTCCTATCATTGCACTGCTTAGCCTTCCCAGCAGCTCACGTTGTTCGACTAGTCCTGTCCACTGCTCTTTTTCTGATTGGCTCTTTTGGCCAGGTGTATGGCCTATAAATTTTCTTCCCCCCCCCAATGCGGAACAGCTTGAACAGGAGCGGAGCCTCAGAAACACATTGTGGCTCATCTGTCACTGATTGGTGCCTGTCACACTTGTGTTGGGTGGCGGTAGTGGAGGGAAGACACGCTGCTGGCATCCATCCATGAGCGGATCCCTGTCTGCGCCTTGCAGCTGATCACAGTCTACACCCTCAAGCGGACCCCCGTCTGTGCCTTGCAGCTGATCACAGTCTACACCCACGAGGGGACCCCCGTCTGTGCCTTGCAGCTGATCATAGTCCACACCTACGAGTGGCCCCCGTCTGTGCCTTGCAGCTGATCATAGTCCACACCTACGAGTGGCCCCCGTCTGTGCCTTGCAGCTGATCACAGTCTACACCCAAGAGCGGACCCCCGTCTGTGCCTTGCAGCTGATCACAGTCTACACCCACGAGGGGACCCCCGTCTGTGCCTTGCAGCTGATCATAGTCCACACCTACGAGTGGCCCCCGTCTGTGCCTTGCAGCTGATCACAGTCTACACCCAAGAGCGGACCCCGTCTGTGCCTTGCAGCTGATCACAGTCTACACCCTCAATAAAATTTTATTTATATATGTATTGGGTTGTGGGCTGATATGGGCTGATATTCTTTCACACTGGTACATTTACAGGCATTATACACTTTTAAACCATTTTAACTCAGTATTAGTGGAGTTCTATTACTTGTGTTTGTTTGCCTTACCTTGTAATTGTGTAATTGTAGTTACCTGTTCTTGCTGCAGTTTGTAGTGTCATGGCTGATCGATCTTCCTATGTCCATGTTCTAGGTCACATGCCATCCAATCCATGCCTCACCATTTCCTTTGTGTTGCATCACAAATGTCGGAGCACTAATGTGATTAGAAAAAAAAATCTTCCAGTAAGCTTTCTGTGTATCTGTGGATGTTTCACTGGCTTGTATCTGTGTTGGATCTAATTACTGTTTAGCTCTCACCTGCAGAGCACTAGACTGAGAATCCCAGGGATTGTGGGATATGTAGTTTCCTCGCAGGAAGTGTCAGTTCTAGAGACAGAGGTAATGCATTAACCTGTGCAGTGCCATGCTGCTTGCCTCATATTTTAACACAAACTGCTGACACTGGAATGTGAGGATTTGCTCTTTTACAGCTCATGTGCATGGGGCAGCCAATGACACCATGAACCTACATGATCAATAGCCATCGTATGCGGATGAAAAATACAAGGTGCAGGTAGGAAGGGTTATAATGCCTTTAACCTCTTCCTGTCTGCCCATTGCCTATAGACTGCAGATGGGAAGCTTTGTCGATGCGGGCTAACGTACTTGTATGTCACAGAGTGCGCACCCGGGAGCCCGGCGATTCGAATGTCGCCTGGACACAGCAGATCACGCTCACACTGTAAACAGTGAAAGTAAAGATCGGTTCTCTTTGCTCTCACTGAGAGAAGCCATGCAGCAGCCTGTCAGGTTCCATGTGCGCTCATAGACTGGTGTGCCTGCCTCTCCAGTGCCCCTGATTACTGCCCATTGTACTCTATAGTAAACAGCCATCCTTGTCCCAGTGCCCACTATAACATGGCCATACACTATACTAATGTCCCAATCGCCATATACCATACCAGTGCCTGAACATCGCCATACCAGTGCCCTGATCACCGCCATACCCCATACCAGCACCCTGATCACTGCCATGTCCCATACCAGCGTCCTGATCACCGCCATACCCCATACCAGCGTCCTGATCACCGCCATACCCCATACCAGCATCCTGATCACTGCCATGTACCCCATACCAGCACCCTGATCACCCCATACCCCATACCAGCATCCTGATCACCACCGTACCCCATACCAGCATCCTGATCACCGCCATACCCCATACCAGCACCCTGATCACCTCCATACCCCATACCAGCATCCTGATCACCACCATACCCCATGCCAGCATCCTGATCACCGCCATACCCCATACCAGCGTTCTGATCACCACCATACCCCATACCAGCACCCTGATCACCGCCATACCCCATACCAGCATCCTGATCACACCATACCCCATATCAACATCCTGATCACCACCATACCCCATACCAGCACCCTGATCACCGCCATACCCCATACCAGCATCCTGATCACACCATACCACATACCAGCATCCTGATCACCACCATACCCCATACCAGCATCCTGATCACACCATACCAGCACCCTGATTACCGCCATACCAGCATCCTGATCACTGCCATACCAGAGTCAAGCATTTTAGGGTCTAAACTGATCAATTTTCAAATATACTGTACATCCCATAGTTTTTAGACTCTATAGCTTTCACATAGAATAAATAATATACACTGGTTTGGGTTACTTTTAGCCCAAATATGTAGCAGGATACATTTTTGCCTAAATTTATAAAGAAAGATTTTTTATTTGCAAAATCTTATAACAAAAACTAAGCAAAAATGATTTTTTTTTTTTCAAAATGTATATTTTTTTATTTATGTAACAAAAATTAACAAACCCAGTGGTGATCAAATACCACAAAAAGAAAGCTCGTTCTGTCTCAAAAAATGATAAAAAATTTTATATGGGTACAGTGTTGCTCAATCCCTTCAAATGTCACTCAAAGTGTGATAGCGCTGAAAGCCGAAAATTGGCCTGGACTGGAAGGAGGTGAAAGTGTGTTCGGACTTGAATTGTTTAAAGTCCTTTATTTTAGGAGAGGGTTCTAGTTGTGATTCATCCTTTTGGATGGTACCTCTAAGGAAGTGATCAATTATGAATTTGGATTCCACTCCTCTATCCTTCTGGCTTATGTTTGGACCTTAGCTTTAGGAAAGGCAAGAGGCATTTGGGTTTTACCATGAAGTTCCCCACACACGGCTAATCTGTAAGGTAACGTCTGCAGGCTTGGAAAAATCTGTATGTAAATGGATAGAAAACTGGCTAAAAGATCCTATTCAGAGAGTAGTGGTTAATGATTCATACTCTGAATGGTCTAGGGGTGTCAGTGGTGTACCCCAAGGTTCAGTGTTGGGACCCTTACTTTTTAATACATTTATAAACAATATAGGGTCTGGGATTTTAAATCACATTTCAGTCTTTGCAGATGACACCAAGCTGTGCTGTGGAATAACGTCCCTTACAGGATGTCTCCAATTTACAAGCCGACCTCAATGCTCTGTGTAATTGGGCAACTATGTGGCAAATGAGGTTTAATGTTGATAAATGTAAGGTTCTGCACTTGGGGGCTAAGAATATGCATGCATCATACATACTAGGGGGTACAACTAGGGGGGTCAATGGTGGAGAAGGATCTGGGGGTTTTGGTAGATCACAAGCTTAATAATGATATGCAATGCCAAGCTGCGGGTTCTAAAGCAAGCAAAATCCTCTCTTGTATTAGGAGAGGTATAGACTCCAGAGAGAGAGAGATATCATTTCCCCCAGTACAAATCATTAGTAATGCCTCATCTGGAATATGCAGTTCAGTTTTGGGCACCAATTCACAAAAAGAACATTGGGGAACTGGAGAAAGTACAGAGAAGGGCAACTAAACTGATACAAGGCATGGAGGAGATACATAAGGGGGGATAGGATCTCCATGTATAGTACACAAGGGGGGATATGATCTCCATGTATAATACATAAGGGGGGATATGATCTCCATGTTTAATACATAAGGGGGGATATGATCTCCATGTATAATACATAAGGGGGGATATGATCACCATGTATAATACATAAGGGGGGGATATGATCACCATGTATAATACATAAGGGGGGATATGATCTCTATGTATAATACATAAGGGGGGATATGATCTCCATGTATAATACATAAGGGGGATATGATCTCCATGTATAATACATAAGGGGGGATATGATCTCCATGTATAATACATAAGGGGGGATATGATCTCCATGTATAATATATAAGTGGGGATATGATCTCCATGTATAATACATAAGGGGGGATATGATCTCCATGTATAATACATAAGGGGGATATGATCTCCATGTATAATACATAAGGGGGGATAGGATCTCCATGTATAGTACACAAGGGGGGATATGATCTCCATGTATAATACATAAGGGGGGATATGATCTCCATGTATAATACATAAGGGGGGATATGATCTCCATGTATAATACATAAGGGGGGAATATGATCTCCATGTATAATACATAAGGGGGGATATGATCTCCATGTATAATACATAAGGGGGATATGATCTCCATGTATAATACATAAGGGGGGATAGGATCTCCATGTATAGTACACAAGGGGGGATATGATCTCCATGTATAATACATAAGGGGGGAATATGATCTCCATGTATAATACATAAGGGGGGATATGATCTCCATGTATAATACATAAGGGGAGATATGATCTCCATGTATAATACATAAGGGGGGATATGATCTCCATGTATAATACATAAGGGGGGATACGATCTCCATGTATAATACATAAGGGGGGATATGATCTCCATGTATAATACATAAGGGGGGATATGATCTCTATGTATAATACATAAGGGGGGATATGATCTCCATGTATAATACATAAGGGGGATATGATCTCCATGTATAATACATAAGGGGGGATATGATCTCCATGTATAATACATAAGGGGGGATATGATCTCCATGTATAATATATAAGTGGGGATATGATCTCCATGTATAATACATAAGGGGGATATGATCTCCATGTATAATACATAAGGGGATAGGATCTCCATGTATAGTACACAAGGGGGATATGATCTCCATGTATAATACATAAGGGGGGAATATGATCTCCATGTATAATACATAAGGGGGGATATGATCTCCATGTATAATACATAAGGGGGATATGATCTCCATGTATAATACATAAGGGGGGATAGGATCTCCATGTATAGTACATAAGGGGGATATGATCTCCATGTATAATACATAAGGGGGGAATATGATCTCCATGTATAATACATAAGGGGGGATATGATCTCCATATAATACATAAGGGGAGATATGATCTCCATGTATAATACATAAGGGGGGATATGATCTCCATGTATAATACATAAGGGGGGATATGATCTCCATGTATAATACATAAGGGGGGATATGATCTCCATGTATAATACATAAGTGGGGATATGATCTCCATGTATAATACATAAGGGGGATATGATCACCATGTATAATACATAAGGGGGGGGGATATGATCTCCATGTATAATACATAAGGGGGGATATGATCTCCATGTATAATACATAAGTGGGGATATGATCTCCATGTCTAATACATAAGGGGGGATATGATCTCCATGTATAATACATAAGGGGGATATGATCTCCATGTATAATACATAAGGGGGGATATGATCTCCGTGTATAAATATATGAGGGGATATGATCTCCATGTATAATACATAGGGGGGATATGATCACCATGTATAATACATAAGGCGGGGGGGAGATGATCTCCATGTATAATACATAAGGGGGTATGATCTCCATGTATAATACATATGGGGGGATATGATCTCCATGCATAATACATAACGGGGATATGATCTCCATGTATAATACATAAGGGGGATATGATCTCCAGGTATAATACATATGGGGGGATATGATCTCCATGTATAATACATAAAGGGGGATATGATCTCCATGTATAATACATAAATGGGTATGATCTCCATGTATAATACATATGGGGGGATATGATCTCCATGTATAATACATAACGGGGATATGATCTCCATGTATAATACATAAGGGGGGATATGATCTCCATGTATAATACATAAGGGGGGATATGATCTCCATGTATAATACATAAGGGGGGATATGATCAACATGTATAATACATAAGGGGGGATATGATCTCCATGTATAATACATAAGGGGGATATGATCTCCATGTATAATACATAAGGGGGATATGATCTCCATGTATAATACATAAGGGGGGATATGATCTCCATGTATAATACATAAGGGGGATATGATCTCCATGTATAATACATAAGGGGGGATATGATCTCCATGTATAATACATAAGGGGGGATATGATCAACATGTATAATACATAAGGGGGGATATGATCTCCGTGTATAATATATGAGGGGATATGATCTCCATGTATAATACATAAGGGGGGATATGATCACCATGTATAATACATAAAGGGGGATATGATCTCCATGTATAATACATAAGAGGGGATATGATCTCCATGTATAATACATAAGGGGGGATATGATCTCCATGTATAATACATAAGGGGGTATGATCTCCATGTATAATACATATGGGGGGATATGATCTCCATGTATAATACATAACGGGGATATGATCTCCATGTATAATACATAAGGGGGGATATGATCTCCAGGTATAATACATATGGGGGGGATATGATCTCCATGTATAATACATAAGGGGGATATGATCTCCATGTATAATACATAAGGGGGGATATGATCAACATGTATAAATACATCAGTGGTTCATATAATTAACGCGGTGTAGAGTTAACTATATGAGCTATTTATATAGAGCTACTTAAACCTGAGCGCTGCATAGAATCGTTGTTGAATAGCCTTGCAGTCTTTATTCCTAAAATCTTAATCCTGAAAATTATGCCCACCCAATTATGCCTGCTTTCGGATTGCCCTTGTCTGCCTATGTTTGCTGCTTATTTCCATTACTGATCTCGGCCTTTGTACCTCGATGCCTGCACATTGTTAAGCTTGTCCTGACTCTGATTCTGCCAACGATTCGATGGCTTTTTGCTCAGCTGTTACTGGACCTGGCTTGTGACTCAACTCTGCTCATAAGTGAACTTGGTGTATCCATGGTACCCGCAGTTGTACCCCTGCTCTTTTGATACCAGCTGCTAAGTTCCAGTCTTCGACACTTGTGCCCTTCCACCACCCAAGATGATGAGGCCACCCTCATCATCTTGGGCACCCCATACAGGTACATGACAGATGGTACTGGGTACCAGTGCAAATAGCAAAAGCTCGTCCTCTAATGACAGATGCTTTAGAGGCTGGGGTCAGAAAGTCGAAGTCCTCCATATTCAGTGGACTTATCCAAAACTGATCTGTT